CATAAATGAAGAAAAGACTTCTTTTTGAACGAAATGAAAATCGATTTTTATACAATTAACTTTTGAACGTTGATATTTACTACTATCCGTTCAAAATACAATCGAGTCATTCACTTTTTAATAACTTTTGAACAAAATAAGATAGAAATCTGCGTTTTTCCTTATGTCGTAGCCAAGATCCTACAGAATGATTCCGTGTTTTTGATGTATATTGCTTAACCCTTTCGGGACTGGTGACGTTTTAAAACGTCATTAAATTTCACGTTATCTAACACAGGAGAATTAGAATTTTTTCTCGTCTCTTCGTAGTAAACGTTTTGTTATCGCCCTATATATGGCCCTTAGATTGCTACAAAGAGGAAGATTCATGCAGAAATAAATTCAAGTGGATTCAGATCTCAATCATTTTTGAAAAGGTTAGAAATTTGTAATTATCACTCGAAATAAGCCGGTCTGGAAAGGGTTAAAATGATTGATATCTGCTTTCTCATCAGTGATATGTGTTGAATCTCCCTGAGAGGCTTCGTGAGTGCAAAGATGTGTACAAAGATGTGTACAAAATAATAACAACTTATATAAGCGAAACAAAAAGATTTTAAAAGCATCACACAGATGAATTCCTATTTTTTCTAACACCATCACCACTTATTCGATTGTACGTGTAACCACCTACTTTCTTTTATTCTTTCTTTATGTGCTTTATGTGATTCTATTTTTAAATTTTTTATCTCTTAATTTACATGTTCACGGTGTGCAAAACATCATGTACGACAACTCTCCAGCTATGTAATGGTTCGCCGAATTAGTTTAGGGAGTTCTCGCATTTAATTTTCTCTTCTTTTTCAAATAAAAATAGCTTATATCAGATGGTACATGATATAGGATAGAGATACCAAGGATTTGAGTTAAATAGTTAATAAAAATTAATGAACGTACTAAAATAACTTTCTTAAAAAAAATGGGTGTGTACTGCGCCATAGAAAAGCGAAAGTGAACTATCAAAAGTGGTTTATGCATTTTGTGCTTTTGATCAAGCTAATCATATTAGAAAATTTGTGATTTAAATGTGAAAACACAGACAGTAGGTGAAATAAATATCCGTCTGGGCTATTTTTGTAGTTCAATTCAGCTGGTGAAAAGGTATCCAACAAAACAGGGAGTGTTATTCACCTTGATTATCGTTGACAGATGTAGGAGAAATTTGCTCATTCAAATAGAACGCTCAAAGAATCTTGGTTGGAAGAGCAAAAGAGAGGAGGCCAAATTACCCGTTCGTTCGAAAGAAAATGTTTATGTGAATCGTATGATGTCATGTATCAAATATGACAATACTCGGCTGCCATGTATCAATATCAAATATCAATAAGTAAAGTAACACATAATTTCATATTTTTTTTCTTTTTTCTTTCGTGTATGGTAAGACGTATATCAAAACTAAACGTAAGTTTTGTAGGGTACGGGTGACGCAATCCAAGAAATACCTGCAAGCGTCTGACAGTTACACGATATACGTAAGTGTGTGAAAAGGAAAGAAAAATGACTTGCCACAACATATTTTCTTTCGCGTTCTGTCTTGCGCCTATATATGAGAGGAAAGAAAAGAAAGGGCGTCAGCGGTCACCATATATAGCGTACGTTAGTGAACGGTTACGAACACCGTCCCATCTCTAGTTACTTTACTTATGGTCCCTGTGTATCTCCCAACCGAAAATAATGTTGTATATAGAAAATGTGATTTGATCGGCGGATATGCATGAATAAGTAAGCCATTTGAATATGAATACAGATATTTTATTCTTAAGGAAAAGCTTATGCAGAACCCAGGTAAGCAAAACACAGGTTAAATGGCTGGTCTTTTTTCATAGTCGGGACAACCGTCCCATCAAGTCTTTAGGACCAAAACAACTCGGTCATGACTAGTCCGAATTCTTCAGCACCATTCATTCCCGTGTTGACTAAACTCGTTTAAGAAACATAGCGACCGTCATGACGCCTAGTCTGGGCGCCAGTCAGCCAATGAATGCAAAAAACAATAACGTAGAATAATGTCTAGCCCTAGATGTTGACTAGTCAGCATATATATATAGAGAGAGAGAAATAGGTTAGATTCGAACGTATGAGACTTATTTTATATACTCGTGTATTTACCGGTTGAGCTATTTAACCACGGAACTTCATGAGTATAAGTTCCTAGAGTACATGAATGACATTTATTCACTAAAAATCTTTTGAAAACTCAGCTTTCGCAGGTGAGTTATTACAGCTGTCGTATAAAATCAAAGCTAGTTATCCACATGCTCTTATTCTTTCTCATTCTTAGTAATTGACGGGCTTTCTAGGCGCAGAGGCAGACTATATAATTCGAAAGCTTTATTTTCTAATTCATCATTTTTAAAAATCTTATTCGAACTTTATCTTGATCAGGTTTTATAATAATACAAATAACATCAAATTGCATCTGATCTAATCCAAATTGAAATGAAATGCAATTGTCGCCAGTTAGTTTACTACTTACGTCAGCATGTTTATCCGGGCGGAGCGTAGAAGCATTCGACTAGGATGAGGTGCTAGACGACCGCCTACTGTAGGCGTCGGTTACAACTGTGCTACATCTTCGTTTTTCTCTCTTAGGCTTTTCTTCCCAAGTTCGCAATTACGGCCTCTCAATAACCCATTTTCAAAAAACAATTTCAGTAAAGGATCAAAATCCGTCTTTCCAAATCCAGATATTGTGGTGATAAGACTAGACGATGAGATTAAAATAATGAAGGAAAAAATAACAGATAAATATTTTCAACAACCATTCTGAGGCAAAAAGACTCAAAAAAATAGAGTAATTCAGTGGGATCTTCAAAAATAAAATCTGACAAAAACTGACAGATGAGAAGATCAAGAGTAAGAATAAAAGTGTCTTTAATACCATCAGACAATTGTAAAAACTCTAAAAAAATAAGAAAGTAATATTTCGACAAACGGTAAGTCTAAAATTTTACACCTGAACACAATTAATAACTATGCCGAAAAATCAAGACTGTACATCACAGAGACAGGTGAGTATAAACAAAAGACAAAAATCCCCTCGAAAAAATGATTGCCAGCACAAATGATCTGCTTTACCCCCTTCTATCCAAAAAACGCCTTTCTCAATCTCTTTTTGAAACATTAAGTCTTCTAAATGACTTGAAGCTCCCACATTTATTTACATCTCTTAAATTCCCTTCTAACTAGGTCTATCTTGTTCAGCATGTGTGAAAACCTATAAATCCAAATTTTGAGCCTTCTAGGATCTTTACTTTCTGAGTTATGGACGGTTTTCTAGAGTCCGCTTGATGGAAAATTCAGCGTCTAAAAAATGGAGAGCAAAAATAAAGATTCTGTTTCTCCGCCAAGACAAGTGATGGAAGAGGGATCTTTTCATCCTATGTAGTCCATTGCACGGTCTATCCGATAATGCAATCAGATCGTTTTTACCTCTGACCTTCCGAGGGTCTTAGGGGTTTATATTATTTCATGCCATTCTTGAGCGTGTGGCTTAAGTATAAAATGAGATGCACTTTTCCATAGACATTCAAGTGTAGACTGTCGAATCCGGTCTCAAACGTTTGGAGTTTTATAAGGATCTCTGGAAAACCTTTGGGAGTTTCTACAAACCCCTTAAGTTTACCAGAAAAGCTTTTAAGTTACATAATTGGAAAGAGCACAAAATTCTGAACAAAATGAGGTATTGCTCATAATTTTAGCAATTACTTTAAAAGGTGAGAAAATAACAGATGTTCAAGCAAAAATGGTTTACTATAAAACCCTAACTTTTATTAATTAATTTGTCGAATTTATGGCTTAGAAAAACTGAAAAACTATCAATGATATCTCATTTTGTTCAGAATTTTGTGCTCTTTCCAATTATGTAACTTAAAAGCTTTTCTGGTAGACTTAAGGAGTTTGTAGAAACTCCCAAAGGTTTTCCAGAGATCCTTATAAGGCTCCAAACGTTTGAGACCGGATTCGATAGTCTACACTTGAATGTCTATGGAAAAGTGCATCTCGTTTTATACTTAAGCCGCACGCTCGAGAATGGCATGAAATAACATAAACCCCTAAGACCCTCGGAAGACCTTCGGTGTCGGGCTGAAGGTCGCTGAAAACGCTTGAAAAACTACGTATAATCAAGTAGGTTTGAAGGTAAAAGTGATGGACCAAATGGGGACCTTCTCTCATTAATACCTAAAAGAAATGTGTTACTTTCGAACGTATGAAGTAGTCTACTCGCGGCAATACACACTTTTCTATATAACAGAGAAAAATATATTCTTCAACAATGACTGATAGTTGTATATGTGTGAGATGCACTAACGAGTAACTTTAACCCTTGCAGGGGAACTTGGTGCGTCGAGTCCTATGTTCGAAAAACTGCTTTCTTGCTGATAAATAGCAGTAAAGATGATGTTAAACACTAGAGTAGATGAAAGAAAAGCTCATCACGTTCGCGTTTTAGCATTCAAAGATGGCTGTTCTATGGGCTTCTCGAGTGACATACCTGTTAATATTGATATTCAATTTGTCAACATGGATTGATCTAATAGGCATTTGGACTGAATTACCCTTAATTGTAGCTCACTTGCCTGAAGGTTGGACACTGCCGTCCATCATATCAATGATAACATGTCTTTCAAACATATATCCATTAATTATCATAGTTATACGATGCATCAGAGGCAGCAAAAACTTTTCCGAAATACCTCATATTTATGCTGTTATTTTTATTGGTATTGGTGGTTGTATGGTATTAGGACTGTTCTGGCATAAAACATTTTATCTATTTCATCAACAACGTAGTGTTATATTTTTAGTTGCTACATTTTTTCTCTCAATGTTAGATTGTTCATCAAGTCTTATATATTTTGATTATATGAAACGTTTTCGTCCGAAATATTTGAATGCAATGTTTTTTGGTGAAGGTTTAACGGGTCTTATCCCAGCTCTTATTGCATTTGCCCAAGGTATTGGAGGCGAAATAACATGTGAAAGTGGACATAAGCCTTCCTATTCCAGACCAAGATTTAGTGTTAAAATTTACTTTTTTATACTGGCTGCTCTTATCACATGTTCATTATTCGCATTTATTCTCCTTCAATGGACTTCAATTGCCCAATCTGGTGATGCTCTAGAAAAGGTTAGATGCGCGACCATTTTTTCTGCCTCCAGTATGATTATAATTTCTTGTTTCAGAGGGATGAAACGATGATTATTGAAGACCAAAATGTGAAACAGGTTTTTATAGTGAAACCGGTAACAACCTTAGTAACAAGAAACTACATATCAAAGACAAACTATTATTTTCTATTAATTCTAAATACAATAAATGCTTTAATTGTGTATGGATGTTTACCATCGCTTATAACTTACGCTGTCCTACCGTATGGTCAACGTGCATTTTATTATTGTTCAGTGTTAGCACCGCTGACCTTTCCGTTGGCTTGTTTTCTAAATCTTGTGCTTAAATCTAAACTGAGATTGATCATTGTCTGTTCATTCATTAGTACAGCTGGTATTTTATTTATTTTCTATATTGCATTTAACAGTCCTTGTCCAATATTACATGATACAACCAAAGGTGCCATTTTAGTAACTGTCATCTGGTGCACAATTTCATTTTCTAGTGCTTATATTCGTGTGAGAATAGGAAATATAATTAAAACATCATGGTCAAACGAAAACGGTTTGTTTATTTATGGTGTAACCACTCAAATAGGCTGTTGTTTAGGAGCAGTCCCATTATTTTTCATAATTAATGTCTTTCAGTTCCTAAAGGATCGACAACCATGTATCAGATATTGTCATACTCGGCTGCAGTCGTCATAATTACAACTGCATATAAGAGTTTGTTTTCTCAGCGTATATCATCAGGAGCTGTTATAAAGTTATGTTTAAAATAAAGACAGGGGAAGATAACGTTAGTTGCTTTTTATTATAAGAAGATGTTTTACTTGGAAGATGTTTTTTACTTCACTTTATTGTTTCAAGGAAATCAGCCACTGAGATAGGCACGTTGCTTACTGCTCTGCGGCATATGCTGTGAAAATCGAAAATATGTGAAATTGTTTTAAAGCAGTGCAGTGCATCGATGAAATAGCTTGGAAGCTTCCTCCATCCTCCGGCATGCCACAAATTTTATGTTTCACCGAGCTAAAAATCTTCAGATGGGTAGCGCGTGCACGTCGGCTATGATAACAGGTTAGTGTGGTAGTATTTTGTAAGGAATTGATGATTTTTTTGACGAATCTTTTTGAAGCACTAAAAGTTTGGACAAAAAGTTTTAATTACTTACATCGATTTTGATGAGCTTCTAAAGTACACCTACCATAAAAGCTTCAAATGTTCAAAATCTACTTTTTCCAGTAGGTTTTCGGACAGACTGATGCTCATTATTCTGAAGACTAGAACTGTTTTGGAAGTGTATTGGGGTAGCTCATTCTGTGAATTCGCACAGATTTCTTAACGGGTCTTTGCTAAACCGTTGAGCTATCCGTATTTTGGCCCCCCAAAACAAAGGAAGCATCCGGAAAGAAATAATTAAAAAAACCCGATCGTATTCGAGTCTGGTGTTTGCGGTAAAAAGTTTAGTTCTAATAAACAAAATCTTGATAGGGTAAATCCATCTGCAGTGAGACAATTTTTATTCTAGAAATAGCGATAAATAGTTTCGAAGGTCTGAAAAAATTTTCTCCCCTTTTTTTTGAAATAGATGTTTATAGTGTTTTGTCCCCATTAATTTGTTTTTAGATGGCGATAGAAAAAGCACGTCATACGATTCACATAAACATTTTCTTTCGAACGAACGCGTAATTTGGCCTCCTCTCTTTTGCTCTTCCAACCAAGATTCTTTGAGCGTTCTATTTGAATGAGCAAATTTCTCCTACATCTGTCAACGATAATCAAGGTGAATAACACTCCCTGTTTTGTTGGATA